ATTTTATGTTTAATGAGATAACACATCAAATCTAGTTTTCCATTTCCATATACCTTTCACACACACCACATCACCACACAGGTTAAAATACACAGGTTAAAGCATGTCTACTTACCAAAAAACTTCCAAAGGCTGAATTAAATATTGCAGCTGCCTGTAGAGAAAACAGAAGGGAGGGGAAAAAATCACTGAGAGTGAGAAGGATAGAAAAAGCCAAACGAAGCATTCTCCCTTCCCCCTCTGTTCAAAACCTTTGCACATTGACTCCAGAAAGCAAAGTTAGTCAGTGCTTACAAAAATTGCCACCGGCCTGTAGTTTACTAAGATCGATGTGCTGCAGCTTCGGGATTCATAAATTGTGGGTCTCAAGAGCAAACAGAAAAGGCTTGCCATGAGAGACTCGGAGCCTACACGGCACCACCAAAGGATTCACCACCGGTGCTGAGGCACAGCCTTCTGGTTGGTTTGTTACCAGACTCCAAACAGTCAGAGGTTGATTGACTTACCTTACCTCCCCTCACCCCCCAAACTCCCCCCCAAAAGGTCATATTCCTGGAAGATGGCCAAACAGCCTAAAGCTAGGGTACCAGTGAGCAGAAGTCTATGAGATACAACCACAAAGTGGGGTCTGTTGTTCCTACATACCACACATTAGAAATCCAAACAATAAGACTAAGGAAGTAATTTGCCACGCTGTCAATTCTAAAATAGGAATAAGCAAACAAACTTCAATGTGGTGTTCATAAATAAAGAAGAAATATTTGACTGTGCTTACCTAAATATCCAGGGAATACATAGTAGACATAATGTAGCTCTTAACTTTATAGTAACTGACTTAAAATCACTATATTCCATAGAGCTACACCTGAATCCTGATAGCGTCTCCCATTACCACAGAAGAATAAACATTTGTATACAATCCAATTTGGTGAAGAAAACAAAAAGGAGCGAGGTGTTAAAAATAACAAAAAAGCAAAAGGAGGGATAGAGAAAACTTATTTACATGTCCCGTAGATCCAGAGAAGTAGTAAGTTCATCATGAACATAACCAGCTACATGGTAGGAGGAAGAGGATGTCAGTTTGGCAAGTTTGAATAAAGTCCAAAGCCAGGCTGAGCTATCGCTGAAACGCCTTCTGCCCCAGAAGAGGATGCAATGAGAGTGAATAGTAATGAGATCCTTGGCTCCCGAGAGCTGGGCTCTCCTAGTCAAGTTCATGATTAATTCAGCGCTTTGATAATTTCATTAGATTTCTCCTTTGCTGGCCCTATCAATAAAAGATGGCACTGGACCACAGCTCCTCTGTGGCCTGAACATAGGCGCAGGAACAGACCAGGGAAACCTTTGATTCCTGACAGGGACAATGGCATATGGTGTTCCATGTTGTGCAGGGAGCAGTAGAGGCACCAAAAAAAAAAAAAAATCAGCTAAATAAAACATTACCGATGGCAATTGTAAACTATAGCACCATATTAAACACATCTTTCCTGGAATGCCACTATGGAATATTCCAGGGGAAAAAAAGCTTTGTGCATGGAAGTAAAAATAAATAAAAAGGTATAAAGAAATGTGATTTGGTAACATCAATAGGGAACACTGCCTTCTTCCTACAAAAATGCACGTTCTCCCCAATATTTTCTGCGAGACTCAGTTTTGTGCTGGAAACAGATTCTCTCACTTCTTAGTAATGAAATGAGCCCCTCACCCCTGCCCCCGCCCCCTTTTTAATGCCTCTCTTCCAAATTTCTTTCGGGGGCCTTTCATCAGTAACTGGCAGTTCTGCCTGGCATCTCTTTAAGTAAGCAGGGAGTGCTTTGAAGTAAAAAGATTCAGAAGTCAAAGTGAACTAAAGACCATATCATCAGATCAAATCACCCTGCTCCACTTCTCTTTCTAACCTGAACATAAGCAGTGTGCTTTATGTGGATTGGCTATGTTCCTGCAGCTCATAAACAACAGTGATGACAAGGGATGGGCTGCCCAAGATGCCCAGAGCAGCTTCGGGCCAACCGTGTCAGCACAGCACTTCTCCTTCCTTGCAGTAGTGATGGATTTGATGGATTTGAACTCATTTACCCACACTGCCACTTGGTCGTCCCCTCAATGAGATCTGGCGGTTATTCTGAGTTCTGGGGACTCAGCAGAGCCCTGTGAAATGTGCAACTGAAACAAGGCTCTTGGGTACAACAGAATCAAGCTAACCCAGTGAATAGTTTTCACACCTATAGTTGTTTTGCAGAGTTCCAAAGAATGGGGGAGGGTATTGTTTATATCTCCACAGGTGAGGGAGACAGGGACCACACGTCAACCCTGTGCACCAAGACTTGAATGCAACATACCAGCATGAAGCAGCGAACCAGTAAGAGAGGTCTGCAGGGCCAGCCCCAATCCCAACTACATGGACACCCCCACCCCCACCCCAGAAGAATGCACTGCAGAGAACAGCACTGAAGCTACAGCTCAGGGAGAGGGGCACATATGATCAGAGGACACAGGAGCAAACGAAGAGGGAAGGAGAGAGAGTGGAACACATTGTGGCCCATCAAGCCCCTAGGGCGATATTCCTGCTCTGAGCAGCCAATGCACAGGGAGAACCATAGGGCCGGCCCCACCACGAGACACAACATCCCTCAATGACCCATAGCACTACGGGGGACAACACTGGAGACACAGTGCGAGAATTGTGGCCTGATCTGACCCCACCACCCTGGGGCCAAACTCTAGGGGCATGCAGCAGGGGAGCAAAACAATGAAGTCCAAAAGTAGACTTTGGGGTCAGGGCATGGCACCCCATCAGACTGACTGGAAAACCCTCAAGAAGGTCAACAAACAGACATGGAACTATTTACAGGCTTTCCTTTTGTTGTTGTTGTTTGATTTTGTTTTCTTTTGTTGTTTTGTTTTGCTTTGTCTTGTTTTTGTGATTATTATTTTCTCTGTATGTCTATCTCGATAAGATAGGCAGTATAAACAATCAGGAGGAGAAAACAATGGGACCGGTTCCTGGAGGACACAGGAGAGGGGGAGGCAGGGGAAAGAAAGGGAAGTGTCAACAAATCCAGGAACAAGAGAACGTCCATGCTGCTTATCCTTGGGGATGGCTTGCAGGAATAGAGAACAACAAATGATCTAAAATCAATGGCGAGGAGAATGTAGGATGCCTGGTAGGGCTTGATCAAGAGCAATGTAGCCGAGAGGAATTGCCAAAACCTGAATGAAGGCCTCACATGATAATGGGACAAGAGGAAAGTAAAAGGAAATAGAGGAAAGAACTAGGAGGCAAAGGCCATTTATAGAGGTCAGGCATGTACATATGTAAATATATTTATATATGACAGGGAAATAGATCTATGTACATATATTTATATAAGTATTAAGGAAGCAAAAATGTTTTGAGAAGGATGATGGCAACATATGTACAAATGTGCTTGACATAATGCATGTATATGTATGGATTGTGACAAGAGCTATAAGAGCCTCCAAGAAAACAATTTTTATAAAAAAAGAATAATGAATATTTGAAGTATTTAACTGATAGTGTGATTGATAAATATGCATGTCTTAGGACTTCTCAGTTCCTTACCACGATATATAATGCCTGTTATGATACAGACTTCCATCCACCAATTCCTTAGCCCCAATTTCATATTCCTGCAACACTAAGCTGCTTTGTGATTTCCCAAACTCATCATTTTGTTTCTATCTCTCTGCTACCTGGCTTGGAACGGCGTTCTAGACTATTCCCATTCATCCTTAGTGACCAGGTTCACACATTGCCCTTCTGTGTTTTCCATCACACCCCCTAACATACACCTTGGAACAAGTATCACCCTGTGTGAGTCTGGGTACTTTAGAGAAACAAATCCACAGAAACTCATATAT